TTTTCATGCCAAAAGGCATTACTTTATACTGGTAAAGTCCATCTGGTGTAGCAAAAGCAGATATTTCTTTTGCTCTTTCTGTTAACGGCACTTGCCAGTAGCCTTTCAACAGGTCAAATTTACTGACAAATTTCACGTTTCCAATGTTGTCAATACAGTCATCGATTCTAGGTATTGGATATGAATCAGTTTTGGTAACAGAATTCACCTTTCTAAAGTCTGTACATAATCGGTAGGTACCGTCCTGTTTTGGTACAAGAATATATGGTGAGCTCCAGTTACTTTTACTATTATTTGAACTACTCTCATAGTGAGATGGTTTATGAAGGGTCTTCTTTTGTTCGATAATGTCATTGTCCAACATGTACTGCACTTCCCTTCTTAGGTACTGCAATTTTATTGGATTAAGACGGTACGGATGTTGTTTGATAGGCAGAGCGTCACCCACTATTACATCATGACAAGCTGCATTAGTTTTCTTTGGAACATCCGAAAAGATCTGATGATACTCACTCGTCAAGTTTTTTAACTTGTTCTTTTTGGTGAATGTTCAAATGTCCAAGTTTAGCATCCAAATTAGCCAAAATTTCTGAGTTTTCAAGCGGACACTCTGATTACAATCTTTCTCATTCATTTCTACACTCGTATCACTTTCAAGACAATTTTGAACAGTCTTAGTATTGGCTAAAGTGGAAACTGGTTTTACAGAATTTCGGTCACACCTTTCAAAATACTCTTTTAACATGTTAATGTGAGAAACCCGTTTCTCTTTACGTCGACCTGGTGTCTTAACTACATAGTTTACATCACTGATCTTGCTTTCAATTTCATAAGGGCCATAAAATCTGGCCTGTAAAGGATGACCAGGAATAGGTAAAAATACATGAACCTTATCACCTGGCTTAAACACCCTATTTCTGGCATCTTTGTCATACCACATTTTCATTTTCATCTGAGAATTCTTCAAATTTTCTTGTGCTAATTTACAAGCATTGTAAAGTTTTTCTTTGAAATCAGACACATAATCTAAAAGATTAAGATCACTAGTCTCAGTTAGCTACTTTTCCTTCAACAATTTCAAAGGACCTCTCACCGTATGACCAAACACCAATTCAAAAGGACTGAACCCAAGAGACTCCTGGACTGCTTCTCGTGCAGCAAATAGCACAAGATGAACCCCTTCGTCCCAGTCTTTTTCATACTGGTAACAATAGGTCTTCAGCATCGTTTTTAAGGTCTGGTGAAAACGTTCTAGCGCCCCCTGGGACTCAGGATGATAAGCAGTTGATCTATATTGCCTTATACCCAACTCATGCATAACTTGCTGGAACAACCCCGACATAAAATTTGAGCCTTGATCCGACTGAATTGCCTTGGGTGCTCCTACAAAACTGAAAAACTTGGTTAGGGCCTTAACTATGCTCTTTGCCTTTATATTCCTAAGAGGTATGGCTTCAGGAAATCGAGTGGATGTACACATAATGGTAAGTAAATACTGGTTCCCAGATCTAGTCCTAGGCAAAGGTCCTACACAATCCACCAACACTCGACTAAACGGTTCTTCAAAAGCTGGAATTGGTTGGAGAGGGGCGGGTGGTATTTGATTCGGTTTACCTACCATCTGACAAACATGACATGACTTGCAAAACTTCGAAACATCCTTTCTTAGCTTAGGCCAATAAAAATGACTCAAAATTCTATTATATGTCTTATTGACACCTAAGTGACCTGCCATAGGTGTATCGTGAGCTAAACTCATGACATCTCGACGATAAGCCGCTGGGACCACTATCTGGTGAACAACACGCCACACTTCATCTGGAGAAGCGTCAGGTGGTCGCCATTTTCGCATAAGGATGCCATCTTTCATATAGAAGCATTCTCCAATTTTAGTGGCCTCTTCTGGTGGTAATGCCCTCTTACTTAGTTGGATGATATCTGGGTCTTTATGTTGTGCTGAAAGTAACTGCTCTCGGCTTATGATATCCTTGTCTTGGCTTTCTGGTAGATTTGACTCATCTTCATCACCACTAAATTTTGATAAAGGTTCATTCGTCACCGACATCTTGATATTTTGTGGTTCCATGCTTGTTTGAGTGCCTTCAAGGTCAGATAAGAAAGTGTCATTCAAATCAATATCAATAGAGGAATTCATCTCGTCAAAGGCTTGAGTATGGTCTGCCTCCATTTCTCGTCTTCTGGCCATCGCTCTAGTAACAGCACAGGCTGGATATATGTCATCATCTTCATCATAACACATGACATCTGGATTGATTTTCTCACAAACTATAGGATCTGGTACAACTTTTCCACCAGCTAAATCGTTGCCTAACAACAAAACCAGAAATGCCTGTGAACGGGAAGAGTATTTCGAGACACCTACGATAACAGGTCCAGTAACTAAATCTGACTTCAAAGTAATTCTATGCAGGGGAACAGCAATGACGCCTAGCTCCACACCCTGTAATAAAACTGACCCACCAGCATAAGTCTGCTCAGACAAAGGAAGCACGCCCTCTAACAATAACGTCTGTGCAGCACCAGTATCTCTCAAAATCTGGACAGGTTTTATTTCGCTACAGTCACCGATTGAAACAAATCCCTTAGACATAAAGGGCTTATAATCCTCCATATAATCAATAGAACTGGACTGTGAACCCTGGACATCAGGAGTGTCAGAACAAATCGAAACTAAGGCTTCTCTATCACCTCTAACTGCCGCACAAGCGTGTGGTTGAGTTTTCTCAAAATCATTTTTTTTCTTAAGTTTAAAGCATTCACTGATCAGATGACCTTTTTTTCTTACAATATACTACAAGTAGGAAGCGACCCTATTCCAGAAGATCCTTCAACACGTCCTGGACCGGACTTAAAACCACCTTGTGATGGAGACTGGAGACTTGTGGAAGACTGAGACCCTGAACCACTCTTTTTATATGTGTCTGAATTGGTAGAATTACTGCTAGTTTTTCTTGATACAAAATTCTTTTTATGAGACAGAGCAAAAGTATCAGATATGACTGCTGCCTCTTCAAGAGTTTTCACATTCTTATCTTCTAAATGTGTTTTCAAATCTTGAGAAACACATTCCTTAAACTCTTCTACCAGGATGACTTGGCGCAAATTAGCAAAAAGTTTTATCAAGTTTCTTAGATCTAAACCAGTGATCGAATAAATCTTCTTTCTCTCGTGAAAATTCAACAAATGTTTGATTATCAAACTTCCTATACTTTCTGAATTTTTGTCTATATGCTTCAGGTACTAATTCATATGCTTTTAATATTGCTGCTTTGACCTTATAGTCTGAACTTTCAGCTACCCCTAGTGCAGAGTATACCTCAGCTGCTTTGCCAACCAGTACACTTTGTAACATTGTTGACCAAACGTGTTGTGGCCATTTAAGATTCTCTGCGACTTTTTTGAATTGGGGAAAATATTTGTCTACAGATTTTTCTTGAAATTTCGGAACCTAATATTTTTTACTGCGTCAAATTCATTCTTGACAAATGACGGTTCTGGTTGGTGCTGTAGTCATAATTTCTCTAACTCAAAGTGCTCTTGTCTTTCTAATTTGTCTAATTCAAATTTTCGTTCACGCTCTCGTTCTTCTCTTTCTAATTTCTCTCTTTCAAATCGCATTTTCTCTAACTCTAATTGAAACTGATATTCTGCCATTTTATAAGAGCCTAACTCTGATTTAACTGTATATTCTGAAGATCGTATTTTTCAAAGACGTTTTCTTCTACTAGTTTGTTTGCAACCTTAATTCTAATGTCTTGCTTTCTCTGAGAGGATTTAACATCTAACCCAAAATGCAAACCTAATGCGATCAAGTCATCCTTTTTTAACGTATCAAAAACCTGAACACTTGGTGAACTAAGAAAGTCTGTGACCGAAAACACCATGTTGATTTCTGCTGGCTTATAATCAAATTTAACGGTTCAATAAACAAAATTCTGACAATAAACTGCAAAAGTGCAAGAAATTCTTGATCCCGGACGAGCCCCCAATTCTGTTATGGGTCAGAATAACCCTAAATGCCAGCAAAGATCAATCACACAATTTAAACTTAACAATAATTTATTAACATTAATATATGCAAATCATAAAGTACAAACTTAGCAAGAATCTAAAAATACATACATCAGAGTGTCCGTTGCTGCACACAATGTCCAGTGTAATTATATCCCAGTCTCTTTATACACCTGTACATCAATGTTACTTATACGACAAATTATTGTTTATGCATCGAATTGACAGGGTATTTATACAGTACTATAAATCTAGAAAATTCTAGAAGTTGTAAGTACATGATATTACTGGAAAGTTCTGGACATATACAAAGTTCAAGAATCACTGGATGAAAAATACAGTTTCCGCATGGCTGAAACTCTACTGAAACTCTGCGGAAACTTAAGGTTACTAATAGTTTCTGCAAAGTTTCGGTGCGGAAACTTCAAGTTTCATCAAGTTTCCGCAGTGCGAAAACCAAAGGTGTCCACGAATCCAAATAGTTTCCACAACTGAAACTTGCTGAAACTTGAGGTATACGCAAGGTTTCAGTATGCGTATATGGTTGAGATACATATGGTGTACCATTGGTTTCCGCAACTGAAACTTGCTGAAACTTGAGGTTTACACAAGGTTTCAGTATGCGTATACGGTTGGAATACATATGGTGTACCATTGGTTTCCGCAACTGAAACTTGCTGAAACTTGAGGTTTACGCAAGGTTTCAGTATGCGTATACGGTTGGAATACATATGGTGTACCATAGGTTTCCGCAACTGAAACTTGCTGAAACTTGAGGTTTACGCAAGGTTTCAGTATGCGTATACGGTTGAAATACATATGGTGTACCATAGGTTTCCGCAACAGAAACTGTACTATAGATTATACAATTTAGCCCAGCTTTTCAACCAAAACTCATTTTCCCCCTGAATTTTCATATTGGAAAAAACAAAACACACTCACACTAGTTATCAAAGAATATTTAATATTATTATCAACATTTACAAACATTGGCTTGGCCATTTATTTTCTCTTGCATCATAAATATTTTTACAACTAAGTCCGAGCTCTCATGTCACAACAGGAGGACAGAGAAAATGTCTGCATTTAATGATGTCTCATACATGAGAGATATAATGTTGCGAGAGGAACTTAGAACTTCAATCAATCAACTAAACCTGAATTTGGTATACACAAGTCTAGTATCATCAAGGAAATGTAAAAGTACTTGTTATAAGAAATGCACAAGTTCACATCATTAGTAGCCAATAAGCACCAAAGTGGATTTTTTTGTTAAATATTCAGTTTGTAGTCCATCATCAACCAACAGAAAAGTCCTTGAGTGGTCCACATTTTTGAAGACCCACTTGCACTTCAAGTTCAAGTTGGATTGACCTATTGAAAATATATAAAAATATAGTTTAACAAAATCCCAATCTAAATAAAACAACATGTTAGATCCTCTTGCATACTCGCTACACAACATCTAACAGCATCCATAGAAGGTCATGTCAAATGTCAAATACGGAACAACTCAGACTCTAGACTTATTCATTCCAATAAATTAAATACAATAATTTTTGCATTCGAGTATTTGATTGGTTAATAGAATTTAACGTCTGACGTGACACTCTACAGGATGCCATTAGATTTTAGCCAATATGTGCGCAGATCAAACATTTAATTTTAATAAGATTGACAGACTGAAAGTTCCTAAAACTGTTCTAGCACAAGCCTTTGTTTGATTAATTTCAGATTTTCAGCATTTTTGATCAGAATGATTTAAAATAAAATCTAAAAATTTATCAAGTGTAAAATCTCATTAGTTTATTAAAGTTGCCTCTTTTACACACTTGAGAAGGGATAATGAAATAAACAAACTTGAATGTATTTAAATGTACTGAATAAGTATGTATGGATTTGTTTCTGATAAGATTTTCAGAGTAAATTAAGGATTTTTTTCTTCATTTTACTTGTTCATCAAAATATTTTTTGTACCCCTAACCTAGACCCTTAGACCATGATTCATGATATTTGAATAACAACTACAGGCCCACAGAAATTATAGGTCACCTGAGTATCATGTAAAGCCTAGAAAAAAAATACGTTCTATACGACCTAATATATAGTGCCGAATCTAAATTTTTTTTAATGCTTTTGTCCCATGAAGTGCAAGATTTCACCCAGGGAATTATACATCTTTAACTTTGCAACCTTTTCAGCATGTTCAAGACAGAAAGAAGCTTGGAGAGAAGTTTGTGTGTACCTTTTTTTAAGTCACAGAAATGCTTGAAAACACCATTTCTTTTGTCATTAATGTTACTTCTATACACTTTTTGATTCAAGAAGCAAAAAAAAAATGTTTAAAAAAAAAATAATTACCTACCTATATTTTTTCAGCCTGAAAGGGGAAACAAATATTTTTTTTTCTAGGCCTAACAACTTCCACTCAATTGAATTTTGTTCGTAATTTACACAAAAAGCCATGAAATTCACAATTTTGAAAAACGCACCTTTGTTTATCATAATTATACACTTAATTACATGCTTACTTTGGTTACTTAGTACCCAAAGGTAGATCAGAGTAATAAAGATACAATGCAATTCCATTTCATAACCACCAGTTGTGTACCCCACCCCACAGGAACCACTAACCCTGAGGCCACACATTTCAAAATTTACTAAATGTTTTCATAGGTTTTATTTCATCTTAAATGGTTTGATTAATTCCAAAGAGCTATAAGACCCACCCTAATGTCTTTAACAAATCCCTGACCCTGGGGTCATGAATTTCATAATTATGGTAGAGGACTCAATGCCGATTACAATCATACCAACAGTTTGACTGCTTGATGTTCAGGAGGGGAAAAGAATAAAGGGGATTTTCAAAGATTGCATGAATTTTAGTGGTTTTGGCCCCACCCCTCAGGCCCGCGGGGGGAGGGGGGGATAAAATTTATAAATTTTGTTCCCCTTCACCAAAATTGGTTGAAATTGGTTGAGCGGTCGCAGAGAAGCTGAAAATCATGATAATAGTTATCTTAAATAAATCATACTGTAACGTTTCTGGGTTCGAAGATTCGGTTGCTCTGCCTGAGCAATTTAAGGAATAAATCAAATAATTATAAAACTTCTCAATCAAGGACTTTAATTATCAATATATACACTATCCTATTCTGTCCTGGAGCGCGTGCGCTTCCTAGCTAAGCAAACACAAAAATATTTACCAACTTGCAGAAAAATACAACAGTCTCGAAAGCCTTATTCAGGCACATAAGACTTGTTAAGCAAGTTTACGTTTCTCACCTTCACTGGAAACAACTGACTGGTGTCGACTTCAGTCTGGAACTGACTAAGAGCTCTGTATCGCTGCTTATATACCCTAAACTATCACGTGATCTCCGAGGATCGAAAGGGTAAACTAAACAGGAAGTATTTATTACACACGAAGCTTCCGGAGGACAGAATGGGATTTATCATTTCGATTCCTAGTTTTGTTTCATTACCCACGCCTCCAGGAATGCGTCCCGCATTAAATCAATAACTACCTGGGCTAAAGATATAACGCGTGGTATAAAACAAAATACAACAACAAATTTTAAAGCTACCTGGCTTTCATTGTTCATAAGATTTAACAAATGTTGCACACACAAACCAAATATCATCAAACACTGTCATTGATAAAATAAGAAAACAATCAACCAATGATTCATAAATGTGCAAACATATCCAATATGACATGAAATCGTCATCAATATCAATGTCAGAAAAATAACAACTGAGAATATTCTTTTCAAAACCAGCTTTCCTCCTCATGCACTTCAACGACTGTTTTCCCGTCTCTTTGGTATGTCTCCTGTACCCTATCTAGTCTACGCCGTTTGTCTTTCTCTGTTTGGGTGCCTTTCTCTTCACAATCTTTATCCGTCAGGGTACTCGCATCAACTAACTGATAATACACGTGTGTCTGCGTACTGGCATCCCGAGTTAGAGATAACAACTGCACGGGAGGTGCATCCAAATGAACAGAGGACCGTTTTCTGGGAGTTGTCATTGGATGTCGGAATGGTGATGGGGCACGTGGCGTCAAGGGGTCCTGGCTTGCTATGGACTTGGATATCGGCGCAGAGACTGGTGCTGGTCTGGTAGGCTTCCTCTGACAGACGGCTTCCGCAGGACGACTCTGTGATGTGCTCCCGACCACATCAGACAGATTTCCTGGGTCCAACTGTTCCCAATCATCTGTGCCGCTATCAGCTGCAGCGAAAACTACTTCACTATGTCGAGTGCGGCGATGTCTCCCCATGTCACTTTTCTTATTAGTAGCATAATCACATTCGGCGCATTCGAATTTATTCTGTCTCCGCTGTCTACCGCATTCCACCACATGTCTCTCCCACTCAACCTCGTCTAGAAATCTCAGATTACACATCGGACATCGATGACCTTCCTTCCTGGGAGTAATCTTTGTATTAACCATGATCTATTGAAATAAAAAACTTTAATTATTCATATTTCAATATTATCACAACAGGTTATCTACATATTTACAATAGCTTATCTTATAGCTCTAAGCACTGTAATCAACTTTGTAGTCCTGAAGCCATTTGGGTAAGTTTTTCGCACGGCGCGGTCTACTGCTTTCGCTTGCAGCAGCTTCTTCTCTTAAAACCCAAGGTTCATCGAATTCAGCCACAGGAACAGCCATGGGAGACATCTGATCTCCAGCTGGAGTATCATTCCTATCACTTATGTCTTCCTCAGTTTCTCCTTGTAGTACTTGTGCATGGCTTTTTCTCATCCGATCACAATGTATGACGGTGCTTTTCCCTCTAGAATCACAAGCAACCTCATACAACACATCTGACAGTTTCTTCTCGACTTTGAATGGTCCCCTCCAAAACGATGTCAGTTTTGGGGAGCAGCCACTCTTTCTAACTGGAAAATATACATAAGCCATATCCCCTGGCTTAAATGACGACCATGATAATTTTGTATCATGATACTTCTTTTGTCGTAACATCTCCCCAGGCATATTTTCTCTCACAATTGCATGCGCTTTCTCTAGGCGTTCGCGCAATATCCATACCCACTGATGCGCTGGAATGTCTTTCATCTCTGACGGCATTTCATACATTAAATCTAGAGGCGTTGTTGCCTCTCTTCCCAGCATTAGCATGTTGGGAGAAAATCCCGTACTTTCATGTACTGTGGAGCGATAAGCCATTAAGATGTAGGGCAGGTGTAAATCCCAATCTTTTTGATTTTCATGGACATAAGCACTCAGCATTGATATCAGTGTACGGTTGAAGCGTTCAACCATACCATCCGATTTAGGATGGTACGGAGTAGTCCTTGTTTTAGTGATTCCCAGCAACCGACACATCTCCAAAAATACTTTGCTTTCATACTGACGCCCTTGATCTGAATGGAGAACGGAAGGAACGCCAAATCTTACTATTACTTGTTCCATAATCGTTCGGGCGATAGTTTCTGCTTCCATATTTGGAAGAGCAAATGCTTCCGTCCATTTTGTGAAATAATCCGACACGACGAGAATATGACGATTCCCTCTGTCGGTTTCCGGTAATTCACACAAAATGTCTGAAGCTATTCTCTCCATAGGCACGCCAGATGCAACGATCTGCATTGGAGCCCGTCTTCTAGGAATGGGATTCTTTCTTCTTGTACAAGCATCGCAGCCTGCTATATACTGATGGACATCCATTTGTAATCCCGGCCAGTAATATCTCTGTCTTATTCTGGCTAACGTCTTTGTCACACCAAGATGTCCTGATGTTTTATTATCATGGCACATCTTTAATACATTTCTCCTCTCTGAATCTGGTATTATAACCTGAAACGTTTCTCGATTTGAGGGGAGTAAAATCCATTGTCGCACTAGGAAGTCATCTCGAATGCTCAACCTCTCAAACTGATTCCATAGTGATTTGACCACGTAACCATACTGTGAGACATCAGCAAATAATGGTCGTTTGCCTTTTTCCACCCACTGGCGCACTAGCTGAATATCTTTGTTAGCCTTTTGTGCTTCTAAAAGACTTTTATTTTCCTTATCACATTCCTCGTTTGTTACTTTCATGGATGACTGCACAGATCTTACTGACAGGTTAGGTTTTTCTTCTTCCCAGTTAGGGTCAAATCCACACTGTGTGCACGGAATTCTACTAAGAGCATCTGCATTCCCATGTTTTCGACCTGGGCGATGCTCTATCTTTATGTCATAGGTGCTAATTACCTCAAGCCATCTTGCCAATTGGCCCTCTGGGTTCTTGAAGTTGAGTAGCCACCTAAGAGATCCGTGGTCTGTTCTAAGAAGAAATTGTCTTCCGTACAGATAATGGCGAAAGTGTTTTGTAAAGTGTACGACAGCCAATAACTCTTTCCTTGTCACACAGTATCGTTTCTCTGCTTTTGTTAATGTGCGGCTGGCATAAGCTATCACTCGTTCTTTTCCGCATATTTCTTGTGAAAGCACGGCACCTATAGAGTAATTGCTCGCGTCTGTGTCCAGAATGAAAGGTAAAGATACGTCTGGTAGTGCCAATATCGGCGCAGAGATCAATCTGTTCCGAAGAGTTTCAAAAGCATCCTGTGCCTCTTTTGTCCATTGAAACTTATGCCCTTTCTCTGTAAGACGGTGCAAAGGTTTTGCTTCCATAGCAAAATCTTTAATAAAACATCTATAATAACTGCATAACCCGAGGAAGGAACGAACATCGGATACGCTTGAAGGTACAGGCCATTCAGCAACAGCTTTAATCTTTTCTGGGTCTGTCGCAATGCCTTCTTTCGAAATGATGTGACCTAAGTATGAGACTTTTGTGGCAAAAAGGTGACACTTTCTTGCTTTCAACTTTAGACCTGCCCCTTGCAGTCTATCGAAAACCTTTTCAAGATTGCTGAGCATATCTTCGAATGATTTTCCAATTACTATTATATCATCGAGATATACCAGGCATATATCCCACTGGAGACCTGCAAGAACCGTCTCCATCAAACGTTCAAAGGTCGCAGGCGCACAGGTAAGACCAAAAGGCATCACCTTAAACTGAAAAAGACCTTTGCGTGTTACAAAAGCTGTTTTACTCTTGTCCTCATCCTCCATAGCAACTTGCCAGTATCCGCTATTGAGGTCTAGTGTAGAGAATAAGGCATGTCCGGACAAGTGATCAAAAGCTTCTTCTATATTTGGGAGGGGATATGCGTCCTTTACTGTTATTGCATTTAGTCGCCTATAATCAATACAGAAGCGCATCGACCCATCTTTCTTACGCACTAGAACTACAGGCGAAGCCCAAGGGCTATTTGAGGGTTCTATAACGTCTTTTTCAATCATCTCATTCACCTGTTTATCAACTTCTTGTGACATATGTAACGGGATTCTCCGTGCTCCTTGCTTAATGGGTCTCTCTGTAGGGTTAGTTTGGATTCTGTGCTTAACAACTGTAGTTCGACCCAGATCAAAATTTGAATTTGCAAACAAATGCTGATATCTATGCAAGAATTTTTCAGCTTGCAAGGCTTGTGCATTTGAAAGAGTTTTCTTACATCTGTCAAGTAACTCTTGAACGTCAGATCGGAGTCCTACGTTTGTTTCTCTTGATGTCCCTTGTGTTTTCTCTTCATCAGCAGCTGTCATTTTCGCAATCATTGTTCCTTTATATATCTGTTGGGCTACATCTGTAATATTCATAAGTCGCACAGGCACAGTTTCGCTACCTTTTACAAATGTTCGGCCAACCAGCGCACGACCCTTCTCCAGAAATTTTGCCTCTGGCTCGACTATGTAATCTGAGCATCCAAATGTATTCTGCCCTGGAATTTTAGCCACAGTAACTACTTCACTCCTAGGGGGTATACAAATGTCATCAGCTGCAATGACACGGTAACAACCTATGGTTCCTTCACAAGAAATGCGGTAGTCCTTATTGTTTAGTCTCAGCGTGTTATTGTTGAGATCTATAATACCACTACCTTTCTTCAAAAAGTCTAGGCCAAGGATACCATCTACTGTGATATCTGTTACCATAGATGGAATAATTGTTTCAAATTGCCCTACTCTGATCTGAAAATCTGCTTTTCCAAAATGTGAAAGTGCATTCCCACTTGCGTTTAAAACTTTCTGTGCACTGTTTTCCAATTCAGGTCGCTTTTCTTGCGTTATCATATCATGCACCCTTCTTGAGACTAATGTCAATGAAGCCCCTGTATCGATTAACAGTTTTGCAGGTGTACCATTAACCTCTGCCTCAATAAAAATTCCAGCCTCAGTACTCATGGTGCTTCCACCTACGTGTCCTTGCATCCCACGTTGATTTCTCCGGCGCTTACTACGGATTCGCCGCGCATTCCCACCAGTTAAGCTCTTTGATGGGGTATTAGTGTTTTTATTTGTGTCTTTATTTTTAAATTTAGGACAATTCCGACGAATATGCCCCTTTTCCTTGCAATAATAACAAATCACTCCATCACTTGTTTTCTTGTCTGTCAACTGCGATGTGTATTTCCTTGGTCTCCAGTTTTGATCTCGGACCTGTTTTTCTAATCTATCCAACTGGGTTTGCATCTTTGTCATCATATCTACTAGTTCTAAGGGCGGTGCGGGTTTTACATGGTCACGTTCTACACCCTCAATCAACCGTAAATCTCCTCGCTTCTCCGTTTTATAGTAAGCATCTAATTCAACCGCAAGCCGAATAGCATCATTAAGATTTCCAGGTCTACTCTGCTTGATGCGTAATCGCATATCTGAGTTGACTAATGCATCAATAAATGCGTCCTTCCCCAGTGTTTCTCTTACTTCTGATGGTGCTGTAGGATAGGCTAAACAAGTTAATCTACGGATAGCCTGTCCCAGTTCAGACAATGTCTCAGACGCTCTTTGTTTTCTTTCCTTCAACTGCGCACGGTAAAGTTCAGTCTGATTTGGCGGCGCAAAGCGTTCTTCAAGGGCCTTAACCAACAAATTATATTGCTGTCCTGTTTCTTTTGAAACATTTCCAAGCACACCCTGCGCGGTTCCTCTTAACGAAACAGCTAAGTAAAGACCTTTTACTTTCTCTGACCAGTTGTTAATGGTAGCGCATGCTTCAAAATGGGACTTATAGTCCAGCCAGGAATGACTACCGTCAAACGTTGCAGGTTTGATGTTACATTTTGCAACCTTTTCCTCTCTGATATTTTCCTCTTGTGTCAAGAAAGGGTTGTCTCTGAAGTGAACGCTTGCTTTCCTTTGTACCCGACCCCCATGAGGTAATTCATCATTTCTAATTTGCGCAGGAGGATTAATTTTATTTTGTTCTTCCGGTGGTACTGGCGATTGCACACCCCGTGGAAATTCAAAAGGAGAATGCGCAAGAGTGTTATTCAGCAAATGAACTGGATGAAGATGTGCTTTTGATGAAAGGCGCGGCGTTTCACTGCTAGGTCGTGGCGCAATCGCTACTGACGGCGCATGCGCTGTCTGCTGTGCATCTTCCATTACTCTATGTTCATCATCACCTAGAGAGTAATTAAACATCGCATCCGCAAGTTCAATATCATCTCTGTCCCTTTTCTTTTTCGCCTTCGCAGACCTCATGGTAACATGATTGGTGTTTGTACTTTCCACGGTGGCGGATCCACTTTGCTCATTATTCTGTTGCATTGCCGTTTCATCTGTTGTAGATGAAATTGGATGACCCTGGCCTCCACTTGCACCTTCCATGTTTGCAATTCCCGAATCGCGCGCTCGCGCACGTTTATCTAGAGGTGTTGAGTACCTCTCTATTTCTTTGCGCAGTTGCTCGCAGCTCTTTTCCAGGAATGAAATTTCCTCATCTACCATCTCGTCCATAATGATTTCAATGTAATTTAACAATTGATTATAAAAGAATATTCCTTACCGAATCTCAACGCGCTGCCACCAAATTTATGTAACGTTTCTGGGTTCGAAGATTCGGTTGCTCTGCCTGAGCAATTTAAGGAATAAATCAAATAATTATAAACTTCTCAATCAAGGACTTTAATTATCAATATATACACTATCCTGTTCTGTCCGGGAGCGTGTGCGCTTCCTAGCTAAGCAAACACAAAAATATTTACCAACTTGCAGAAAAATACAACAGTCTCGAAAGCCTTATTCAGGCACATAAGACTTGTTAAGCAAGTTTACGTTTCTCACCTTCACTGGAAACAACTGACTGGTGTCGACTTCAGTCTGGAACTGACTAAGAGCTCTGTATCGCTGCTTATATACCCTAAACTATCACGTGATCTCCGAGGATCGAAAGGGTAAACTAAACAGGAAGTATTTATTACACACGAAGCTTCCGGAGGACAGAATGGGATTTATCATTTCGATTCCTAGTTTTGTTTCAATACAATTTTAGTAGGTAGCTCGCAAAATGAGACTTTCTAAGAAAATGTTAACATCTGTTTATTTCATGAAAACATATAAATATATTATATAAAACTTAAAAAGTAGAGGAAAGCAGCTTACATGTTAACCCCCCCCCCCCTAACCCCACAACACACTGACTATGATCATGACGATAAATACTAAATAGAGAGTGAGATTAACAAAACAATAAAAAATAAAAACATAAACTTTATGCTTTAGTCCTTAATTTCCTAAAATAGAGCTACATAAATTATATTAAGTTCTTACTCACTGTTAAAACATACCTTTTAACAGAAGTATTCTTCATCCTCCCCTATTAGCCTTAGTTTTCAGATGATTTGTTCAGTGGATATCTGAAATTAAAATAGATCAAATTAGTACAGTACCGTACATTAATAACTGTTTTTGTTTTTAGCATGAGCTAGGAAAAGTCCCAAAAACCACTTGCATGTCCATTTCCTTGCACCTGACATTCAGTTAAAATTCTAATAGACACATGACAAAGAAAAAAATGATGGAAAATTGTATCATTTTAAAATGGACACACTCTGGTCTAATTTTAAGTGGCAGTCCTATCACAACCACAATTTAAAAGTTCTTGAAAAGCAATTATATCTGAGAATGAGAAAAATTAAATAAGTTACAATTTTTCATAAAAGAAGACTACATCTAAATTATGTTTGTTTAAGATATGTAGGCCTTCTTTGATTCAAAATTATAATCCATTTAATACTTTATTTTATTTATTCCATTTTGCATAAAGGGCAGGTAACTATTTATATAATAAGACAGAACTATCATGACTCTTTAGTGGCCATTGTTGAAAATTGATTTAATTAGTGATAGAAATATGGCAAATGGTAAACAGCTAAAAACAGAGAGATTACAAAAATCTTATTTGTGTATCAGTCATTTTATCAAGTCAATAAAATTTAGCAGTCATATAGACGTAAAAGTATTATGTCAAATTTTCATAATGGGTCACACAGTGTGGCCCAGTGGTTAGAGCGACACGCCTCAAGTTGGGAAGTAGGTGCTGATTCTTACATCACGGGTCTGAATCCAATGTAGTACATAGAGACCGCTCCCTCGGATGAGAGCAGAGACTGTGTTGGTGATGTATCCACATGAATAAAAAGTTCTCTAAACGGATATCATAATTTCTACGAGCAACAAACAAATACTAGTATATGACTATATAATATCAATGCATGCAACTTAAGAAATTGATAATGGCCAACTGCTCATTTCATCAAGCTCCAGTCTATCATAATGCAGAATTTATATACAGGTAAACAATAGCTGTTCTGTTGATATCAAGAGAATCATGTTTATGGTTAATATGATTAAAAAGTGATTTCTGATATTTAGAAACTGCACGGTGCAGCACCACATTTAATATTTGAAGCCCAGGGTACAAAAATAACATAAGTATAATTTCTAATGAAGAATTAAACCATGCACACTAAATCAAGTTTCCGGTTGCTTCAGTAGTCTTATTTATTTCATATATAGATCAAAACATGCATATGTGTCAACATGAAATTAAAATTTAATTTAAAATAAATATCATTTTAAGTTTAATTCATCATAATTATGCCTTGTAAGAAAAGATGCTTATGTATCTTTGTATATAAATAGTTTATTCACTTTCGACATTTGCTTTAAAATCCTTATGTATGGTATGAAAATAAAATACTTCAACTTGAATAATGTGCGGCATTATGAAAATTATCAAGTCACTTTCATAGCCCAAAAATCCGCAAGTTCTCAGGAATTTTACTTTCATGACTACAACATGTACAAATTGGCATTTCACAGTGATACAATACTACACGATAGCATTCTCCCATCATGATGCCCTCTTACATGTCTAATATTTACGATTCTAGATTGCATGTATGTTAAAAATATATTGAACCCTTCCTCAGCTGTGCAGCACAGTCTTCCATCGATAATAAAAACAATTCAGCAAAAAATAAATGTACGATTCAAGAAACTACTTCTGAGAATAACATTGAACACATCCAGCAGCTATAATGAACAATAAAGCTCACCTTTTCTGAAAAACATAAGCGTGGGGTCAAATCTTTCGATTTTCCAAATGAAAAAGTTAACACCGGATACAAGTACATAACGATATTATCCTCTAAAACCCACCTACATTTAAAATTCCGGAATACTAAAACACGTTGTAATTTTTAAATTATGTAAATTTTACATGATCGGGACGATGCAGAATACGAAAACATGAAAGTTAAATACAATGGTGCAAAATACATGCACGCGTTTAAACAGCAGTTAATTATATGTATAACAACCTAAGCTGAGAATGATTTACAAGGCGCTTTTTCACAATAGTATTACAACTGTACAATGGTCATTTTGAATTTTTGGAACGCGCCATTTTAGGTCAACATTACTCTTACGATTTCAGACGATAAAAACAAAAATAAAGATGCTCTGAACTGTAACAAATAACTACCTGTATCTAATCTGCCGTTTGGGGTGCCTTTCTTCAGTGTAGATTCAAAAGATCTTCTCATCTCTGTTGTTTTTCTTGAGCAAATTCTTGGTGTTTTCTTCGCCATTTTGTCCTTCTTTCTTCTCTGAAAATCTAACCAATGAGAGAGAAGCATTCTGCCGCGATACGCCACCTAGTGATTCAAATTCTTTACGGAAATTTTGCATTTCTCTTTTGGCATTTTTTTTTTTTTTACGTTTTAAATGCAAATGTCATTGTATATATATTGCAACAGAATGAACAGTTTTGAATGATAAAATAAAATTGATCATGGAATCGAAGGGGATAAAAAGCGAATTTTAGACCTTTATTACATGATTATGGTAATTGTTGAAACGGACTCCGAATGTCCTAATGTTTTCAAATAGAATGATTTAAAGTCACATGTACACATGTACTTCGATTATTGTGTAAAAAAAGAAAAGAAAAGAAAAAAGAAAATGGTATACAAGTCAACAAAGTTATGCTGATGGCATATTAACCACATATGTGCAACTCAAAAGCAAAATTGGGGTTATAAGAATTATTCATCAATTCACTGGATGAAAAGTCTAGTTTCCGCAAAACTGAAACTATGCGGAAACCTTGCTGAAACTTGGCGTTGAAGTTTCCTGTATGGTTTCCGCAATGCGGAAACTATATAATAGTTTCAGCAAGTTTCAGTAGGGTTTCTGTATACTGAAACCATTAGGTTTGTTTCCTAATAGTTTCCGCAAAACGGAAACCAATGTAAAATTTAATGAAACGTCAATTTAACGATACGTTTTAGTTTCAGTAGGTTTCAGTTTCCGGAAACTATTAATTTCGATTCCATATGGTTTCCGCATGCTGAAACCGTACTGAAACTTTTTCTATTTTTTTTTTTCAAAAGGGTAGAAAAATCAACTCATATGCATATGATCTTTTTACTATTGATTTCGATTCCATATGGTTTCCGCATGCTGAAACCGAACTGAAACTTTTTCTCTATAATTTTTTTTCAGAAGGGTAGAAAAATCAACTCATATCATCCTTATATTTATTTACACATTAAAAAAAATGGTTTTATTTTTAAATATCTAATAGTTCATATTCAGATTTTGAGATGTGCCTGCTCTGTGTAAAACTTACACATACCGATATTGATATCAATGATAAGCATATTATACAAGATCCTTGCTTCATATTAAATGTATAAAAATTGTTTATTTCATATTGTGTCGGAATTCAAAAATATTATTTTTAAACAAAATCGATTCCTCTCACAAGGATTTTCTACATTACCCAACTCAATACTTCCCCTCGGGAATTGATTATTTTGAAAACATACATCATTTTCACAAAACTACGATTACGTTTAATGTAAAGTTGTTTAAAAAGAAAATTAGTGTGTCTTCATGGTGCATGAAATACAGATAATTACGAGAGTGAACATAATCTGAGATAAAAAGGTTTGCATTTATATTCTTTATACATGTTTCTATAAATATATTCCTTAATTGATATCATTTCAATAATTTCAATTTGTTAATTAACAATACATATTGACTAGGAAGCCTTTTTTACTATTCATATATATATAGTTCAATAGTTACATGTACTAGTTATTTTTATAATAACATTGATTTAATATCTACATATATTTTAATTTTATTTCCGTCTTCGTGAAAACATTTTATTCGTAAGCCGCGGTTTTACAGCATTAAAAATATTACAAGAAAACATGTCCTGAAAATTTGATGTCATGGTTCCCAGGATTTGCAGCATTTTATGTCAAT